AAAGAGAGGGAAAATACTGTTCTATTGCTTAGAATGGGAACACAAGGATTTATATTATTATTGTCTTTGAAAATGAACAAACCTTTTGTGTGTTATACTTTACAGTTAAAAAATCTAAAGTTCTATATCACAATAAAAAAAACAAAACAAAAAAGGCAAAAAACCCAAGTCAGAATAGTCTAATCAATCAGATGTTTTGTATGACTTGCTTCTTTCACTTAATATTGGGTTTTTGATGACTTTTCCCTATTAAAGACATCTTGTTAAAGTCTACCTATCAAAGTCTAAGGCCATGCCACCCTGAACAAGTCCAATACTGTCTGATCTCGGAAGCTAAGCAGGGTCAGGCCTGGTTAATATTTGGATGGGAGACCCCCTAGGAAGACCAGGAGCTGTAGGCATAAAAAAATAAAAAAAAATAAGGGTTTATAAACTGACAAGGTCCTTGCAATCTGTGACATCAACCAAGGGTTGCCTTGCCTAAAAAAAAAAAAAAAAATTGTTTCTATAAAAATAAATAAAATCTGCCTGTTGAATTAAAAAATAGGTATTAATTCTGGATAGTGGGTAGAAGATATTTGTTAAATTCTCTAACCTTGTTTTTTTTCCTACAAATTAAAATAGATTAAGTTAAAAAGTGCATACCTGATTCTGCCTAAGAAAACACTTTCTACATTCATGCGTGAGGGTGATTTGTCAGAGTGCCAGGCTGACAGTCATGTTTTTCTGGGGTTTTATACTTGACCACTTTTATGACCATGAGCTACACCATGGATCAGTTACGGTCTTTGTGATCACTGGCTATCTACTTAAACATTGTTTTTTATTTTCTCTCTTTAAAGTAGAAAATGGAATTTACCCAGTCATGTGGTTAAGATATGATGTTCTTTCAGGGAAATTACTGATATTAGAAATTACTATGAAAAGAATATCATGTGTCTTAGACTTAAAGATTTAAAGATGCAGGAAAAGAACTTTCCCCTTAGAATGAAAGTACATATGCAGACACATGTAGATCTGAGGAAGCACAGCATATCCGAGGTGCTGAAGGTAATCGGGAAGGCAGAGAATGGTGAAGGCAAGATAATGGGGTTAGCAGTTAAACTTTGTAAGTCACTGAGAAGTGTGGGCTTTTCGTCCATAGGTGATTGGGAGCCAAAGAAGGTTGCTAAGCAGGGTCGGGCCTGGTTAATATTTGGATGGGAGACAAAAAGTGAAAGCAAACGTGCCGAGTATCCACTCAAGAAGATATATAAAGAACAAAAGAATTAATATAAAGAAGATAGACAAAAGAAATATTAATGATAAAGATGAAAATTAAGAAAATAATAAAAAATAAGAGATCAACAAAGCCAGTTATTTCTTTGAAAAGATTATAACACTGATAAACTTCTGCCAATAATGTTCAAGAAAAAGGTGAGATGGTAAAAATAAACAATATTGAGACCAATAAAGAAAATGTAATTACAGATACTAGAGAAATTACATGGATTATAAGAGAATTTCCTGAAACTGAAATGGACAAAATCTTAGAAAAATATTATCCAAACTGTTTAAAGAAGATAGAAAACCATAATAATTTACAAGCATTAGGAAATTAATCAGTATATAAACATTTTCCCACAAAGAAAACACTAGGTCTAGAATGTTTTATTGGTGTATTTTTCCGAATGTTTAAAGAACAAATGATTCTGTCTTATAAAATTATCTAGCAAATGAAAAAAGGAACTCTCCTTTCTCATTTTATAAGGCCAACATAAATTTGATACCAAAACAAGCAAGAAAATTATAGATTTTCAAGACAGGAAAATTATAGATCAGATTCTCTTATGAACATAATCATGCAAATCCTAAACAAATTTTCAAGGCATGTAATCCTGCTATTCATAAAAAAAGATAATATATCATAACCAAGTTGGGTTTGTCCCAGGAATATAAATTTGATCTAACTTAAAATAAAAAATCATTGCCTCGCATTACCTTTGGGAGATTAAAAGAAAAAATCAACGGTCATGTCATTAGTTGTAGAAAGAGCAGTTAACGAAATTTACATAACAGTTGGAAGTGTAAAACAAGTCTTAGCAAAGTGGAAACAGAAGGAAAGTTCTTCATCCTCCTAAAAGCATCCTCAAAAGCTACAGTAAATATCCTCAATTCGAAAGCATTCCTTTTGTAAGATTAAAAGACAAAGAGTACAAGTATCGCCACACACGATAAAAAAAAAAAAGAATTGATATATTTATATAAATTAATAATAGGAGCTTCTACTTACCAAAAGTGAAATGACAAGCTAAAAACTAGGGGAACTAATATTCAACATATATAACTGCCATGTATCAGTACCTGTAATATATAAAGAACTAAGAAAGATAGAAGGAATGCAATAGAAAAATAGGCAAAAGAACAGAACAAGAACTTTACTGAAAACTCAAATGGCAAATAAACATAGGGAGAAAAAAGATCAATCTCACTAGTAATCAGGGATATACAAATTATACACAACAATAATAACACTAATAAGAGTTAACATTATGGTGTGCTTACTATATAACACAAACTATTTTAGTGCTATAACTATAGCAACTTTTCAAATTTTCACAACAATCCTATGTGATAGTATGGCAGGCTTTAGTACTATTAATTGATATGCCCTGCACGAGCATGAGAAAGTGTTAAAGTCAGGCAGTATAACTCCTTCAACTTTGTTCTTTTTCAAACTTGTATGACAATTCTATATCTTTTGTATTTTCTTAAGACTTTTAGAACCTGTCAGTTTCTACAAATGAATCTTGCTAGGATTAGGATTGCAACTGCATTACATTGTTTCCCAATCTACGAACAAGGCATAGCTTCCCATTTTCTTCGGTCTTCTTCAATTTCTCTCAGCAATATTTAATAGCATTCAATGAAAATATCTTTGTATCACATTTTGTTTATCCATTCATCCATCAGTGGACATTTGGGTTGCTTCTACATCTTGGCTCTTGTCAATATGAACAAGAATATGCAAACATCTCTTCAAGACCCTGCTTTCAATTCTTTGGCATATATACCCAGAAGTAGGATTGCTGAATCATATGGTATTCCTATTTTTAATTTTTTGAGGCACAGCCATACTACTTTATACAGCAGTGACACCATTTTACATTCCCACCAACAATACACAAGGGTTCCAATATCTCCACATACTTATGAACACTTTTTCTTTTCTTTCTTTTTTTATAGTAGACATCCTAATGGGTGTGACGTGGTATCTAATTGTGATTTTGATTTTGCAATTCCGTAATGTAGTGATGTTGAGCATCTTTACATGGGCTTATTGGCCATTTGTATATCTCTTTTTGGCAAAAAGTCAATCCAAACTCTGCCCATTTTAAAAATCAGATTGTTTTACACTTGATTTTTGTATATTGATCTTATATCCTGCAACCTTGAGAGAAATTAATTCTAGAAGTTGCTTGTAGATTCTGTAGAATTCCCTAGATAGAAAATCATGTCACCTATGAGTAAAGAGTTTTATTTATTTATTTCCAATTTGAATGCCTCCCCGCCTTTTTTTCCTTGACTTACCGTTCTAGCTAGAATCCAGAGCACAATGTTGAATAGAAGTGGTGACAGTAGACACCTTTGCCTCGATCATGTCTTATAGGGAAAGTATTGGTCTCTTATCATGATCTTGTTAGTTGTAGATTTTTCCTACACATTCATTATCAGTGTGAGAACTTCTCTTTTATTCCTAATTTGCTGAGAGATTTTTATCAGGAATAGATGTTGAATTTTGTCAAATGTTTCTTCTGTATCTCCTGAGATTGTCACTGTCCAGGGTGATCTGGAATACGGGGATGCCCTGGATGGCACAGAGGGGATCCTCGGTTCTTTCCCACCAACCTAGAAGAGAATTACCAAATCAGCGGGAGATTGGAAAAGAAAGGTTTGTTGAAAGTAGGTTTTAAGAACGAAAAGCGTTGGCCACAGCATGGGGGATACAGCCTCATGGGGGATACAGCCTTGGGGAATTTAGAGAACAAAAGGCAAGGGCTGTAACTTAGGGAAAGCAAAGTGTTTTCAGATGGAAAAGAGCCAGGTTAGAGGGGGCAGCAGCAGAGAGAAGGTGAAGTGAAAGATAGGATAAGATAACATTGCAAGAGTTGGGGGTGGGGAATGGGCTTCACCAGTAACAGTGGAAGCACCCTAGAATCCAGGAGCTAGCTGTATTTTATATTGCTCTTGACGGGCGGTTATAAGGGGTAGGGCTAGATGATTGGCATAGGTGGTAGGGCTAGATTGATTGACATTCGACTGTCTTTAAGGGTGATTCCCTGGTTCTGCCTTCACTCCCACTCATGTTCATATATCAAGATTATCATATGATTTTTTTCTGTTTTAGTTTGCTAAAAAATAACCAAAAGCCAATGGAAAAACATAGAGAGAGATATAGACCCACAGAAGATCTAGCTATTGTAATGAACAGAGATTTAAAATGGCTTGGATTGATATGTTCAAGACAGTATAGGCAAAGGTGGAGAAAATAAATAAAAAGAGGGAGAATTTCTTCAAATGAATTTTTGCCATATGAAAATTCTAGAATTTAAAAATACAATGACCAATATTAAGAACTCAATAAGTAGATGTAAGAGATTTAAGAGAAGATTTAGATAGATGGGTAGAAAATATACAGACTCATGCACAAAAAGGCCAAAAAGATGATAGTAAATATAGATGGTAAAGATGAGAAATTCTGACATACATAATTGAAGTCCTAAAAGGAAAAGAGAAATAAGAAGAGATAGTGACCAAGAATTTTCTAAAACAAAGATATCAAGCTACAAATTCAAGGGACTCCAGGAGTGGCACTCATGAACCCAAATGTGATAAATACAAAGCAAACCACATCTAGACATATCGCAGGAGAACGATTGTAGAAAACTAAAGGAAAAAGTACTAAATGAAGCCAGAGGAAAAAAGACTTTAGTTTTCAAAGGAATAACAAAGGAATGATGTAAAAAAACCTTGCCAAACTAGAATGTTATATTCAGCAACAATATGGAAGATCAAATGAAGTTTTTAGGCAAATGAAAATGGAGAGAACTTGTCACCAGCAGACCTACTCTGAACAGAGGAATTATTCAGAAAGAAGGAAAAAATTCCAGTCAGAAGCACAAAAATGTATAGTGCAACAAGGAGCAACATAAATGGTAAATATGTAGGTGAATATAGTGAGTATTGACTGTACAGAACAATAATTATAAAACCTTGTGTAGCTTAAAATATATGCACCATTAAAATTTGTGACAACAAAAAACACAAAGGGGGGAGGGTAGGGAGGCATAGTGTGTAGTCTAAGGTCTTAGCATTTGGGGGAAAGTAGTATAAGTAATCACTTATACTAGAATGTAATAACTCAAACAGGCATGCTGTAACCTCAAAGATTTCTAAAAGAATGTAAAACTAATAAGCTAATAGAGGAAGGTAATAATATAATTAAAATATTTTAATTAATTCAAAAGAAGGCAAGAAATAATGGGTATAAAATAAGTGGACAAAAGGAAATAAATAGTAAGATGGCAAGTATAAATCCAAATACAGCAGTAATTATATTAAATGTAAGTGGACTAAAAATTTTTCCTGTTGAAACAAAGAGAGAGCAACCTTCCAATTTTTATATTTAGCTAGACTCTGCATAAAAAAATGTAGTTACCAACAACAACTGAAAAGGCAGGGATTCCTAGTGCAAAATGTGGAAGAGGGAAATAACTTTTAGCCATCAGCCCTGGAGGGCTGAATTCTGAGTCAAGTTTGAAGCATGAAAAGCTCTCCTTTCAGTGTTGTGGATTGTCTTTCAACATGTGAAACAGGAGGGCTTTAATCTGTTTTTGTTGCAGACCTTTTATTTTGAGATCTCCTGAATGTGGCCTTAAATTATGCAAATGTTAAGCAAAGACTCTCTACAGGAAGCTATTTAAAAAGCTAAACTGTGTTTTGTTGTTGCAAATTGTTTTAAATTCTTGCTACTGTGTGCTTGAACTCCAGTTTGGTCTTTTCACAGGAATGGCTGTGGCTAGTTTTCTTCCAAAGTATCCAAAGGCAAACAGTTCATTTCTGTACATATTATTTTTCTTCTGAAGACCACACACTAGTCTCAAAGAACACATTTTTTTCCCCCTATTAATATGACTTTACTTGTCCTCTTTGGGAAATAAAAATCTTGCTTTGTTTTTCTAAAAGAGAATTCTCTTCAAC